GACCAGCTCAAGAATTGGATACCTGTAAACAGACCAAGAGACTCTTAAAATAGCACGTAAATACAGAATACTTAGACCTACCCCATTATTACAGAAGCCGTAGATTGCATCGTAGGTATGCCTGCCGATTCGTTTGCTGTAGATTTCGATCTGTTTTGCCATTTCCAAATGCTGAAGAAAAGACTGTCTCTCGTCGATCGCCTGCGAATTTTTCCACATTGCCTTAGTGTTACTTATCATGGCGTTCATTTCAGCTTCAATGTGAGCAATTATGGTAGGGACCCATAAGGAAGAACATACGTTACAAGAAGACGACTTTGCTGTCAATCCGAGCGGCCCTCGACCGCCATCTTCAATCCCCGCCACATAACATTTTACGAAAATGCAGTGGTTCTTTTTTCTCTATTTTTATGAATATTCACTTATGAAATTATACTAAAACAATTATTCAGCTCAGGCTCAGTGATTATCAATTAATATTTACCTAACGGCTCGCGGAATCGCCGCTTGGTAAATATTCATTGATAATCACTTGGCCTTCGGCGAATAATTATTAAATATTAAACTTTATTATAAGCTTCAAAAACTCATACATAATTAATGAGTTAGAATAGAATGAGCCTATTTTATCACATGCATGGACTTTTATATCTGATAAAACACTCCTTATTAGTATTCTTTATATGAAGGTCTCAGGTTTGAAACCTGATCATTGACCAATGCAGGATGTCAACTGATTGCAGTGAGCAGCCAAGAGCGCTTCTATTTTACTTTATGCGTATTCAATGTGGGATGACAAAAGTGCTTTGTAAAGTGATTCGCGCATGAACAGTTTGCCCTATTTATCTCGGAACATATTTGTACGGCAATTTCTCCAATTTCTCCAAGAACTTTAACGGATTTCAGTTTCAAATTAGTGTTGGAGTTTTTGAAGCCGTTTAAAACAATCGAGATCGTTTTTTAACAGGTATAAAGATTCTCGCCTTCGGCTCGAATCTTTATACCTGATAAACACTCTCTCGTGTTTTAAGCTATACTTTAAAAGTAATATCAATTACACCAGTTGAGTTGAAACTAATCTAGTTAAAGCTAATATTACAATGGGACTATGATAGCATACTTGCTGATCAGAAGACATCTGTGGCTCAGCTCGTCTGCTTGCGGAAKCTTGGTTGTTAGGCTGGATACTGGTTTTCAACTGTGGAAGAAGAAACATCGATTCTACCTGCCTTTGMATGGAGCTACATGCTTYATCTAWTCGCTGTTGATCCAAATCAAACAAAATCATCATTAATGTAGACTGGTACATGGCTGACATTTGAAAACCATGAGATAAATATAAACGAATAGCTGATGAATTTAAAAACGAGTTAGAAACAATTAACCAAACATTAGTTGTGACTGATGTTGAAAGGCACTGCTCGCCAAGTCTTTCTAAGCCACACGAGAGAACAATGTCACCCAAACGATGAGATTTGTAAGGGTTTTTCTCMTAGATTTAACAACGCCACTGCTGATGGTTTGCACTGGAAGACTATCAAGCATATTTGGATCATATCCGCGCTTTTTGAATGCTKCAAGAGCTACTGGCTGATTATTCTGTCTGGAGAASGCGATGACTGTCAGTCGGTCACTTTCGTTTCCAAGGATATCACCGATACAGCTTTTGAATGTTTTTAAATCAAGTCGTGACTGCTTCGCTTCATCTGGGTTCAATATACTTTCTAGAAGTCCTCTATCACAGTTTGGGGCTTGGCCAGTGTATGCCTACAATTAACCAATCAATCATGACTTCATCTAATCGTTTTACAAAGGCAACGATGATAATGGTAATTGTCAGAGGAGTGACCGTCTTTCAGTTATTCGAAAAAATATCCCTGCCCTAAACATCCTGTATACTTTTTTCAACTTTTTCATTCTTCTCAAATATTATATAAAGAAAACTCATAAGGATGATCTTTATCAGATATAGAGGTCTGTGGCCCTAGCAAAGGTCTCAGGTCATTGTTAACGAATGGAGGATGTCAAACGKTAACAGTGAAACCTTCAGAAGCGTTAGTCCAGTACTTTATGCTTACTTWTTGTGAGATGAGAAACATGCATTGTAAAGTGATAAATAGGGTTTTCTCAAACTTAAATTTATGACCATTTTCTCCAAGAATCTTAATTCAATAAAACTATACATGAAATATATCTGAATGAATAAAAAATACTTTTTAGCAGCAAAATCAACATTGAAAGTTTCAAGATCTGTGCAATTAAAATTTCCACATGCTAATAAAAAGGAAAAAAAATATCAGAAACATGTGTCTTAGAGTGATTTTCRTAAACCCGTGAAACAAATGTTAGCGTAATAATCGTTCATATCAACTAGTATGAGTTAATACCCGTTAGACTTTCTTTTCGGTACTTTTAATCAGAATTCATTCAAAAWCAAAATTAACATACATTCCAATRCCAATTTATTACTATACTATCTGGACAGCAGCTTGACATATTCTATATTTAATATTCAATGCCTGTTTACACACCTGGCATGTGCAGAAAGTCAATATACATTGAGTCACGTGACATTTCTTTTAATGATATTGGAAATATTCGTTTGGGAGGACAAGAAAGGTCAACNGAATCACCATCGGATAAACACTATAAACGGTTATTTTTAAAACATTAAAATCAAAATTTCAAATTTAAACAGAGAGTCAACTCAGTCAATTGCAAGCGTTTCAGTTTTCTAACTTTGAATGAGGGAAATATGAGACTAAAGGGCAAATGAGTCAATGAGTCATGAGTCAATGAGTCAAATATGATAAGTAATCAAAACCCAATACATCGGGTACCCGAATCAATAATTTTAGCTAAATACTTATTAACAGACCTACTATCGACCGAGACAGTTCTACCGAGGAGACATTCTCTAAGGTTTTCATTGAAAAACATCGACTTTTTTCCGTTTCCATCTAGTGCGGCATCGTAATTAACTAACACAGGCTACATCCAGAGGCATTTAGACAACATATCATTWGTAATAGACCGATCCAAGGATAATCGACACCATATTGGTGTTATTGTGTCGACACCCTTCAAAAAATCCACGAAAAAAATATGTTCTGCTGATGGGATGCCGTTGAGATTTACATATGTCACAGATGATACCTATAAGAAGCCATTTCAAGAATAAAAAGTCAAGAAATYCAAAAGGACGCTTTAATTTTGAGCGATTTTCTCGCTCAGGGTCGGCCGCGATACATTTCTTTGTTAATGTTCCGAATGCGGCCTTCAAAAAGTCCTCGGAAAAATATGTTCTGCTCATGGGATGTCTTTGCGATTCACATATGTCACAGATGATACCTAAAAGAAGTTATTTTAAGATTAAAAAGTTAMGAAATCCAAAAGGACCCGTACATTTGGAAMGACTTTCTCGCTCTAGCCGGTCGGCTGTGTATAACGTTTCCGCTGAACATTCGCGGGCGCAAGTTATTTAATGTAAACAAAATGACCTTCAAAGTTGTGTGAATATATAACTAATACAAATCAATCAATTAGACACCTATCTTAAACGAATGGACTAAAGTATTTCTTCGTTATTAGCTATGTAGTGTGGCTGTATATTTCGCGAGCATTAACTTTGCGTTTTGGACAGAAAATAGGTAGAAATATATGCCTTAATCGTGCATATAAATCGCGAAATAAAATGCCCGCGAAAATTAGTACCAATAAGGGGTAACTGCATGCAAATTATGAACAAGAAAATATGCAAGAAAATATGCTTTATTAAAAGAATGCACACTTTATTGATAATCAATTAAAAAATATGATTTATCTAATTTTGATAATCAATACTTTGAAACAGGTAACAGAAACTTGGCAAAATAGAGTTGTAACACTTTAACACTCTTACCAATAATGCAAGATAAATTCCGAGTGATTTATCAGCACTGTCAGTAACTTTCATGGTAATACAAATATGACTCTTTAAAAGTTGGCCAAGTTAAGTTGTGCTAAGAATCTCAAAATATATATATATATAAACAACTTCAACAGTTTTTGTCAAGACAATATCATATGCAAACCTAAAAATGTTACTCAATATAATAAAAGGTACTTCAACATTTTTTGTCAAAACAAAAATATCATATGCAAACCTAAACAATGTTACTCAATATAAAATGTTAACAATATGTAATTTAAAACTTTAACTGTTAAAGAGCATTATCCTTATACAAAAAAATAGTTTTGGGAATCAATTATTAATATGCATAAACAGCAATGTAACAGAAAAGTACAGCTTTCAGTCTTACTGTATCCAATGTTCAGGATGAAAGTACTCGAGGCTGTCATACTCGTCACCTTCCAGGCTCTCGAGAAGAGCATCATCAATATTGATGAAATCTGGGGCTGCAATTGTACTCCCAGTTGGCTTATTCTTGTGACATGTATCATTCACGCAGAAATAAAATTTAAAGGGAATAAAAAAATTCTCTCCCTTGGAATTTTTATGTGGTGGCGACCACATCCCATATGCTATGATGACCAATGCTCCATCCAAAATTTCTTTTTTGCAGTGTCGACAATGTGGTCTTCTGCCCTTTTTAACACCTTCATATCGCTCTAGATTCCAGGTCGTCTTGGTTGAGGAGTTATTGGTGGCTGCAGTGGTTATTGAAGAAGCATTGGAGGCTGACACTTTCTTCGCATTAGCAACAACCTCATCAATTTCCTCTTGCACAAGTGCTCGTTGCTGCAAAATAGGACTTGCTTCGGGTTGCTTGCATACAAATAGATAGACCCACATAATGTGTGAGCACAGATTTTGTCGTGTGCAGTATGAGCAGTCTGCACAGTCTRGGTACTTTGAGATTGACACATTGCAAATCTTGCCAGTAAATTGCCTCAATTTAACCTGTATTTTCTCTGCTGTTATAACCTTGTGTAGGACAGTAAAMGAACTCTAACTTTTCTTTGCTATATCTAATGACCTGATCAATGATTGTGATCTCTGCRAACGATATGGTGCAGATCTMTGGGTCTTCTTTTGCTGTYGTTGTTTGGTACTAGGATCATGTCTGTGTGACGAGTTGGACTCAACAAAACTKCTGGTWTCTCTAGTTTCTACTTCCTCACCCTCGACAACCTTTTCCAGTTCATCTATGTATGCATCTGCCCTCTTGTTCTGCTCAKAATATCTTCTCTTCTGCAAATCAGCACTGCTTGGACCTTGACCACCTTTATAAACTCCAGAGCCATAAGATCGCAGAGCTGCTGATAGCTTTACACTTTCAGCAACATCTTCTCGACAKACATCAATAAGGGAAAGGTTTACTGCACCTATTTTCACCCATCTCGAGTGCCCAATTTCAGCATGATTTGATTTCGGGGTGTTATGCAGCGGCTTAAAAGCACGGAAAACGTGGTTTTTGCGCTTTTTCCACAAAGACCACCATGCTTGCAGATGGGTGTGTATGGCAACAAACACTTCCATTCGTTCAGCAGCTTTCTCATATACCAATGGAGTTSGAGCTGTCAGCACGGTTTCACATAGATACTTAAATTCACTCTTGGCATCTTCCCCTACAATGCTCTTTTCCTGTCTTTTTATGGTAAAATCAAAGTGTTTTTCACAACTCACAGATCTCTTGTGATCTTCTTCACCTTGAATATGCAGTATAGA